CTGCACCAGGTTCAAGGGTGCGGGAACTTGACTCACGTCCACATCTCCTATGGGATGTATGCTAGCGCAGCCTCCGCCTTTGACCCGTAGACAGTACCAGCTGTAGCTGGGCACCGCCGCGCGCTCCCGATCGGAAGACCATCCCCCCAAGCCCATCGCAAAGTCAACCTAGACAATCTGATTTTAGTATCCAGTTGCTTTCTTGCAGAAGATTTAAAAATGTTTAAATTTTTAAAAAATTTCCTGGTAATAACAGATATCGCGAAATAATCACAATTTGGGCCCTGTTCTTATAACTCGTATGACAGGGTCGAGAAGACGTAGGGAGAGGAAGAAGACGTTCCCTTCTACGTCAAAAGTACTTTATTAGTATTATGAAGCCACCAATAGCTGTACAGTACAGCTATTGGTGGCTTCCTAATACTAATGGAGTACAGCCTGTACTCCAGCTGCATAGAATAAGCCAGTCATACTGACTTAAACAGGACCTCCTAAATCTCATTATAATATTTTGGAGTGACTAGGTCAATGTAATCAAACTGTTTAGAGGCTACTTCAACAGTTCTTATTCTCTATTGGCTAGTTAAAATGTTTTTTGTTGAAGCCATTTGATCTGGGCAAGGCTCAATTGATTCTCACTCTCACAAACTTTTAAAACGAAAAGTGGCAGGAAACTGGCAATCTCGCTAAAATGAGGACATTTTCTCAAAGCAGAGCCATTTGTTACCTAAGTAGGCAGCATACTACAGCTCTCTCTTTTAATTAAAATTGCCCAAAACGAGAGCATATGATGAGTGTTTTTATGGATGAATTAGGACACCTCAATAAAAAGTTATGCTGACTCAGCTTTAGGACTTTCAAAAGTGGCACAACTGGCACAGTACCTTGGTAATATTCAAGATTCCGAATTTATATTTAAAGTCAGACTGAGTTTTGAACTTGAAAAAAAACACATCTGGAATCCTAAACGGGACCTCCACTCACCACATCTCTACATACGTAAGCTATAGATAATATATTCTAGGGCTGAAGAGGGGCTGGGATAGTATCGAAAAATGGAAAGCGCAACTGAAACGTCGATCTATTTCGTCAAAACATGTATGATACGAAATGTCCCTGCAAAGTATGTAGACTTGTAAGGGCCTTAAAAGCCTTATTTAAACAGTCGAAACATATGTTTAGTACTATATACATGTATAAATAACACACACACTCACACATAAAATGTTGCATTCAGAAATTGTAAAAACATATATTTGTGTCACGGGCCATTGGGGAGTTGTCGTGTGTCCAGCAACTTGCACAAATTCGCTCGGATATGATTTTATTGACCTTGATGTAGGGAGGAACGCCCAGAAATTGTGTACCTGCTTTGTAAGTGTGAAGACCCTCTGTAAAAACCTGTCCTAACAAGGACAATACAGCCAACAGCACTGCAGTAATCTATCCGACTGGCACATTGATAGGATAAGGAGCTCCACCTATTTCGCCCCCAACACGGCAAAGCAGCCAAGTGACACAACTACTAGCTTTAGTCAACGCAAGCTTGTCGAACACTGAGTATTGACCACTTAAAGTACAGCAACCACCCGACACAGAAACTTATTTCTGTATTCACCTACCTCTCCATACCTCGTCGAATTTCCGGGGAAGACCTCGCCGCCAGCGGACCCCGCGATTATGATGATATGCTACTGGAGCGTCTCAAGCACTTTAAGGTTGTATTTTGGGCTAATACTGCATCCCCGGCGGCAGTGTCCGGTCCTGCCAGATGCTGGATGTGGTGGATGTTAATGAGATCCACGGACATGTCACCCTGTTTATCTCTAGACCAAGCCTCACTTACCGGAACTGATGAAGGCTGCGGTACGCGACTGAGTGGCGGGTTTGGCGCTTGCGCATCCAAAACTTCAACTTGCTCGAGGAGAGCGCGCAACCGCTATCGGCATTGCCATTGCAGCGCCTCGTCCATCACTTTGTCGCGAATCGTCTTGACAGTGACAAGGTTGTCATGCTGCAAAAGGAGTAGCTTTGTGAGAACAATTGTGACATCGACTGGGAATGCTTACTATTGCGTTTTCGTGAAGCACGCCCGACCCGCAACCATTGCCAGGGGGTCCGAAAATGATATTGTTATTTATCGTAGTAGCATCTTCACGATAAATTATCGCGAAGCTAGCTTGTATGTTGGCAATACGTTATGATGCTTTAGCTAGAAGACCAATAAATAATTGAGTTATTGCTGCAATAAACACGGTTTATTGAATCAATAACAGGTATCTACGCTCGAGTTGCTGTGTCAAGTGTTTGTGCGTCCCAGTAACCAGCATTTTCGCGCAGGAAGAGAATCATTTCTAAAGTAATGGGCTGCAGTCCATGGCGTTCTTGGCCAAACGTGGTACGAGCAACGCTAAAAAAGCGCTCCACCACGTTGGACGTCGCAGGGATTGCGTGCAAGAGCTTGTACTTGGTCTCCTTCGCGGCAAGTCGGCGTCTCTTTTGAAGCAGCTGGACGAACGAACTTTCGCCGTCGTCCTCGTCTTCACTCACTGCAGGAGGGCCTGTCGACTTGAACGGAGTCAACACTGTTTTTTCAGCTCGCGTGAGGCGGGCTGCATTGCCGCCTAAGACCCGTACACACCCTGACTCAAAGTCAGGGCTGTGAACAATTTCAGCGCGTGGGCCTAGTGTTCATAGTGAATACAAAACAAATTAGCAATGGATACTAGAAAAGGAAAAAATATGCTGCACGTACCAATGTACCGAGCGTAGTGTGGTTTGATGGAAATCAAGCCATCCAGCCACACTCGAGCATCAAGTAGTGATACTTCGCTTCCCTGTAAAGCTTTTGCAACGGACTCGACCTTCTTCAAGTCTGCTAGCAGAGCACGCAAACGGCGGTTGTACGAAGGGGACGGCAGCAAATCTGCGATGTCGTCGTCATTGCTGTCGATAAACTCCAGCAGTGTGAAGTACCGCATCACCATAGCGAAAGTGGAGCTCCATCGAGTATCTTGGCGGATAACTGGACGGAGCGGCGTTTTAGTTCTACATTCAAAATAGAAACCCAATTAGAAACGTTTCTAACTACATCATTATCAGTTCAAACTTACCTCAGCTTGGCACTTTGCTTCAGGTTACGAAGCTTGATCATTAACTTCTGGACAGCATCCAGCTCGTCCTCATAGTCTTGCATGTCAGCTTGCACTGCTCGGTTAAGGCGGTGGCTGGCACAGCCGATTAGCGGCACACCCATCAGCGTTGCGAGCCGCCGGTTAACCGAGCAGTTGTCTCCCACCAGGAAACAGCACTGGCCCAGCTGCTTGCCGTAGTCCCGAGGCAGCATAGTGGCAAGAAACTCCATGTGGCCGCGGGCGGAGAGGTCTTCCTCCTCCTCGTTGAGCAGTGGAGCCATACAAAGAAGAGGAGTCTTGACGACCCCGTCCACCTCGTAGCGAGCGTACACTGCAATGTAATGATCTGAAGCATGAGACCACCCATCAAAGATTAGCCCAAAAAGGTCAGGTATCTCTTCAGCGATGCCACGCTCCACGGCCCGCGTCACACTACTCATGCCAGAGACGATGCGTCTCGACACAAATTGAGTCAAGATTAGAGTACCTATGA